CACACACACACACACACACACACACACACACACACACACACAGGAGTAGTGATGGTGGCCATGGCAGCTTCGGAGGCCCAGCACTGTGGGCATCCTGGTGTGGGGCTGATGTAGCTTCTGGGACTTTTTCCTGAGCTTTGAGAACAGGGAAGAAATTGGCCTGACCCTAGCTGGAGGCCAAAAAGACCTGGGTTGGGGCTCCCATCCTGTTGTGACACATACCACAGGACATGGCTGGTCTAGTCCTGGTGGTCCCGGCTCTCCCTTCTGGCCCTTCACTCCTTTTCGGCCTGGAACACCTCGCTCCCCCTGCACACGAAGGGAGATGGTGGAATTCTCAGTCTCCAGACCCAGGACCCCTGCAACACTTCTCGGACAGAGATGACCAAAGGCCAGCAGCTACTGAGCTTCAGTCCCAGCCTCCCCTGTCGCTGCCCCCCCCACTGTCCCCGCCCTCTCACTGTCCCCAGTCTCTCTCTGCTGATGTCTTGCCTTCCACTTCTGCCTCCTCCCTCTCTCTCCACCTGCCTCCCTTTCCCTCTCCCTTTCCCCTCACCTTCTCTCCACGTTCACTCTTGTCGCCTTTTTCTCCCCGGGGTCCAGGGAAACCCTGACAGAAGGATTAAAGGTTAAACCCTAAAATGAGGGTTCAAGGCCAGGTCTCTGTTATCTGTGCATTTCTCCTCTTCCCCCATCCATCATTAACTCCTCCCTCCAGGCACATTTGTGGCACGAGCTGCCTGGTCCCCACTGAGAGGTGATGCACCTGCTGGTGCCAGGTAGATGTAGGGAAAAGCAAGCATCAGGGACACTAGCTCTGCTTCTTCCAAAGCAGGCCACTATTGGAGTCTCAAGATGGGAGTCCTCACTCAGGCAGAGTTGCCAGTGAGGGGTTTTCTCTCGCATCGCAGTCAGAGGTAGCTGGCTCAGGTTGGCTGGGGACAGAGACTGAGGAAATCCATAGAAGTTTATGTCACCATCCTTGACAGATTGAGAAAGGGTGAACTCTGTTCTTTGACCTTGGCTCCATTTCTTATACCCTCCTCTGTCCATCTATTCAACCAATGTAAGTGTCTACCAGGCTGCAGGTAAAGAAGTGGATTCCACAGGTTTCCTCTCTCGTGTCTAATGGGACAGGTGGTGGGGTGCTGATGACAGTAGATGTTCAGTGACAGAAGTATGAATGAAACAGGGTGGTGGATTGCGGGGGGCAGTTCTATTGACAGGTGGTGGTTCAAAGGAAGTTTCTGATCAGGGTTGCCATTTCAGCTGGGTCTGGGGGAGAAGGGACCTGGGCTTGTCAGGTAGAGCAGGTAGATATGGCTCTAGGGCTTCCTAGAAACCAAATGTGGCCACACTTATGATGACATGGAGCCTCTTTAGTTCACCCTCAGTGACTTTCTTGGGCCCAGAGTCTGAATGAGATTTGGCTTCATCTCCAGTGCAATCTCCCTGACGAGTCATACCTGCCCCCAGTCAGGAACCCCGACTGGCCTCCCTCTTCTTGGTCCACACTTGCTCTCCAAAGCAACATTCTCTTCTTAAAGTCCCGGTTACACACAAGAGCTCTGAGAGCCCTGCATCTGGTCATGTTTCCCTCATGACAGCTGCCTGAGGGAACCCCCCCTCCCTTCTTGGGATCCACTGCCTCCACCCACAGCTCCAGGCTGGGCATGTGATCATGCCTGGCCAATGAGGGCACTGCATTCCTATGGCCAAGGGATGGTTCAGTGTTGACCTGGCTGGGACCAAAGACAGCCAAAGAGACTTTCTTTACAGCAGTAGCAGAAGACACATATTCTTTCTTCTGGACTTGGGTCCAGGTAGCTACAGGTCTGGAATGCTGGCTCCACCTCACCTCCAATTTTTCCACTTGGAAAAGCAGAGACAAGAGAGGGTGAGAGGCTGGGTTGTGCCCTGGATCCTTGGGTTGACCCTCTGGACTTTTCAGTTATGAGTCATTCTACACCAGTTAAACCATGCTTTGTTTAGGCTATGCTCCCAGAGGAGACTTGATTCAATCAGCACTGGGAGAATGCTTCCTTTTCTCTCTTTCCTACAATTCCACCCTAGCTGAAGCCTCAGCATCTCTCAGCAGGGGCTTCAATAGCGTCCTCAGTGCTTCCCCCACCTCCCTGCTGTCACACATCGTCCATCCATCCAGCCAGCCAACATCTATCATTTTAACCATCATCTGTCCATATCTCCATCCATTCTCTTATCTGTTCATCCGTCTGTCTATCCATACATCCATCCTCCATCATCCATCCATCCATCATCCATCCACAAAGCCCCTGTTTGAGGTTGTGCACTGAACTGAGGACATGGGGAACATGTCACAGTGACATCAGGTTACTGTATGGGCAACACGAGGGCAGAAGATACACATAGGAGGGACCCAATTACTCACAGCGAAGGATGAGACACTTACATCTAGTCCTGGCTCCCCGGGTCTGCCCTGAGGAAAGACACAGGCAAGTGTGAGGAGTAGGGAGGGGGTGCTGGGAGTTGGGTGCCGGGAGTTGTGGGTTGGCCACAGACTTGGGGGCAGGAAAACTCATTGACCAGACAGGCATAGAAAAAAGGTAGGGGGAATGGCTTGTAAGAGCCACAGGTCTCTGACCCTGTGGGGTGCAGGGGCTGGACCTCAGAGGCTGAGCGACACTAGGGGCATGGGGCCATAGTGAGGGGATTACCTTCTCTCCTTTGGTTCCTGGCAGCCCAATAAGGCCTGGTGGGCCAACTGGCCCCTGGATGGAAAATAAGTAGGTCAAGAGACTGATGGTTATAGGATGTAATACCTCTAGGGACAAACAAGGCTGATGACACTCACAGGCAGGCCATGAGGGCCTCTCTCTCCTGATGTGCCCTTCTCTCCCTTTGCTCCATCCAAGCCCTGGAAGCAAAGGGGAAAAATAAGTAAGAGAGAAGGAGTTGGACAGTAGCAAGATAGGAAGGCTTAGGGCCCTTGTGGGAGCTGGGCTGTGCCTGGCAGAGGGACAGACTCCTGGTTCTGACAGGCCTGGCCCCAGCTTCCCCGGGTAAGAATGATCAGTGAACCATGGCTGTATACATGTCCCTTTTCCCATACAGGGGCTCCCTCAGAAATCATGGGAGAGCGTTATGGTGACGTCTATCCCACAAATGAGAAAGGAGGTGCCAGGGATGAGCCCAGCCACATGGCCAGGAAGTGGCAAGGCTGGGTACTAATCAGGTTCCTGAGCCCCAGCCTTGGACCTGGTCCCTGACAGCAGCTGCCTCTTCTAAACAGGCTCTGGGGAGGCTTGGGACAAAACAGAACCAGAAGCAGTGCATCTGGTTGGCTCCCATGCTTGGCCCCACTCGTGTCAGGGATTCCATGACTCGGAGTCCCCAGGCTGTTCTCTGAGCTGGGGAGGCAGAGATGTATTCTCCCCCTGACTAAATGAGACTCAGGCGTGAGAAGGAGTGAGGCCAGCTGGCCCTCACTTCTGTGTCTGCCTTCTCGGGCCAGGCACATGGGCAGACCACACTCGAGGTTTTAATTTAAGAGCAGAGAACATGACATTGTGAAGTACACACCAAACAAAGACTTCATGTTCAGGGCAGTTGAGAGACAGATGTGTCTGGAGGGAGGGGATGGGGTGGTGCAAGGAAGTGGGAGGTGCAGAGAGACGGGGAGAAGTGCGCAAGAGGGAAGATGTAGAGGGAGATGGACCAGAGAAGGAGATAGCCTGGGGCCCCTGGGCAGAGGGAAAGAACAGAAACCCAAGCATGGAGGTGGGGGACATTAGGCAAGTTACAGTCCAGGGTACTGGGAGTGTTCAGGCCCTGGAAAGACTCAGGGCTGGGTCCAGACTGAGGAGAGGGCCTCACTGTATTCATTAGCAAGGCTTTTTACAGTGGCCCTCTGGCATCTGAGTGAGAAGGGAATCTTCATCCACTCACCTTGGGACCCTGGATTCCCTGAAGGCCCTGGAGGAGAAGGAAAACTGATTAGAAAGGCCACTGGGCTGGGTGCAGACTTCGGGCCAAGACAGCAATCACGACAGCTCCAGGCTGCTCACTGGCCCCTGTGGCCCTGACCCTGGTTCTGCCCTCTTTGTCTGATGCCCTCTGCTCCGACCATGAAGAATCTTGTCCTCCTCTGGGTTACTGCCCTGCGGCCCGGGCTCAGGGCTCACCACTGTCTTGGTATCCCAACTGCTTTAAGTGAAATTGTGCTTACCATGGGACCTGGGGGTCCAGGCGGTCCGGGGGGGCCTGGCTCCACTATGACCTGGGCCTAGGAAGCGTCAAATAAGGGTTAGTCACCCACTGCCCGATGTCCCTCACCTGCCCACTCAGGAGCTCATCACCTAATGGTGAAGAACAAGGTGGGGGGGTTCTATCCTGTCCCCAGGAGGACACATTCTGATGAGGGACCCAGTGGCTGGCCTTTGGCTTCTCAGTTGGGCCATGGGTGGGGGATGCAGCCTGTGCCTCCCTTGATGCTCTGTCCCCACTGCCCTGGGTTGGGTCAGGCCTGGTGGTCTTTCTGTCCCAAGGCTCAGGGTCTCCACTGGACCTGGAATGGGTGTTAGGTGGAGCCCTGAGCCTCAGCAACCCCCTTACCAGGCTCTCCTGTAGGCTGTCAGATGCTGACTCTCCCTTCTCTCCCTTGGGGCCGTCAGCACCCTGCAGGATGGGTGGCTTGTGAGTCCTTCCTGTCAATCCTAAAATCATCCCCGCAGTGCTCAGCTACTTCCCCTTCCTTCCCCCACAGGGAAGCCATAATTTGGCTTTTGCAGTTTAAAACTGTTTTCCCCAAATCAGTGTGACACACCCTGGAACGGGAGCATGATGGTACATAGATACAAACAAACTGTCTGGAGGTGCCAGGATGATTGGGGCTCTGGAGCAAAGACCCAGGTTCAAATCCTAGTGTTAGCGCTAACTCAGGTGGTCAATGGCTATGAGGTGACAGGGCTCCCAGTGACTGCTTAACAACCTGGCAACTCTTCCAATTCAGCCACAAAAAGGATAACAGTAAAAATGATGATGGGTGGTGTGTGTGTGTGTCTGTGGGGGTTACTGGGTGCTGGCTACTATTCTTAGCCTGGTCTGCTTTCTCTTTCAGGAGTGGGAAATGAACATCCCCACTTTAACAGCAATGAATCAGAAGCAAGAGGAGATTAGGTCTCTATCCAGGGTAGAAACAAAACCAGAGGCAAACTTGGATAACTTAGGCCAGAGTAGAGTCCAAACACTCGGCCACCTGGCTTCCACCAGGCGGGGCCTCCCCATTTCACCTTTAGGAGTCCTCCTTGTGGAGCTGCTTTTACAGAGGAGGAGGTAGAGACTCAGGGCAGTGTGGGGGAACTAGAGTGTCCCTAAGTGTCCCTCTGCAGGGGTATGCCCTGTCCTTCCCAGCATGCCTTTACTACTGTCCCTGCAACCCCTAGCAGCCACCCTGTGGAGGGCACTCATGCAAGTTGGGACCACCCTTCCCCAACATCAGGTAAGTAGGTGGGGCCCAGCCCAGTCATATACCGGAAGGCCAGACAAGCCCATCTCGCCTGCTTCCCCTTTGGGTCCAACTGGCCCAGGCTCTCCTGGGTCTCCTTTTGGTCCTTTGGGACCCTGAAAGTCACAAGAACAAGAAATTGGTGGGCATGCTTCCCTTTCCCACTCTGGTGGGTCCCTGATCTTGGTTTCGGTGAGGCCAGACTTGGCCAGACCTTCCTGCTTGTGGGTCCTGACTTCCTTGTGGGTCTATATAGCATCACACATACACACTCTCTTTCACACCCACTCACCCACTCCAATACCTAGTACCCAGGTAGCTGGGAGCCTTGGCTGAATGCATTGGGGGAATTGGAATGAGGACAGCAAGGAGACTTCCCTCCTCTGTCTCCCTGTAAGCCTGGGGTGTGGGTGGCAGGGGGTGAGGGTTTGGGTGGTGGGGGGGAACATTTGGAACTGGGGCAGCCACCTTGGAGCACTTGTGGAGTCAACTTTATCCTCCCATCTCAAGAAGTCAATGGCAGACCTCCACTAGACCAATTATGTCATGATGTGCCATATGCTGGGGACACAGCAGTAAAGACATATAACAAGGGACACCCAGGGATATGCTTATGTCTATATGGACTATACCTACAACCACACACAGACACACACACACATACACACACACACATACACATTCCAATGCCCAACACCAACATCAATATCAACAAAGACATTAAAATCCCAGAGACCTTCTCTCCATCGATTCCTGGGGCACCAGGCAATCCAAGCTCACCCTGAAAGTGAACAGGCAATAAAAGGAATTTAGTCCTCTTTCAGCTTTAGAGGAGGGTTAGTGGCCCGAGGGAGGCCTCCCTGCCTCCCTGATCAGTACATCATCCCTGGGTGGGATCCCTGCTGTTGAACTTCTAGAAGGGCACTTGCTGGGTGCTAGGCACCCTCTGCCTCCATGTGCTCAGCTCCTCCAGGGCAGGTGTAGCCCAGGGCTGTGAGCTACAAGCTGGTATGTTATAGATTTGGAAGTTACAGACCTGGACCCCAGGAACAACCGTGCCAGGACCAGACCCTGCCTGACTTTAATGTATTAGACTCTTTCTTCCAAGATAAGTAGGCAGGGTATAAATAGGTACAACCCCGGGAATGCTGTGCATGTCTACAGGACTGTTATGATGTCTGGAAGGGCTGATTTTTCAGTTTCAATATGTGAATGATTCTTCCAGCAAAAGCAGGTAGCAAGGGCCAGGAGAAAAGGCACTCAGATTGGTAGGGAAGGATCAAGGTCCCTTTCTCTGAGACCCCAGAAACCAGGCCAAGATACCAGGAGGGAATATGGCAGAGAGGAGAGGGGAGGTGCACCCTGGAGATAAGAGCGTGGGGACCATGCAGCTGCATTTACACTGACCTTGGCTCCAGGGATCCCTGGTGGCCCTGGGGCTCCCTGTGGCCCAGGAGGACCCTGTGTATAAAAGTCAAGCTGGTCAGTAGTTAGATAGTCCCACCCTGCTGCACTGCCCACTGTCCCTTCCACCTGGGGTCAAATCCCTATCCAACAGGGCTGCAGGAGGGTCCTTGCAGCCTGCTTCCCACCCAGTCAGGTCATCCATAGGACATATAACTTGGTTTGGTCCCATAGTCTTGGGAGAGGCAAGGGAGGTGACATCCAGCATGGAGTGAGATACCACAAGTGTCAGCTTCTCTTCCCAATACAGACACCTTCACAAACACTCCTGCTCAAGATTCTATGATGGCTTCCTGCTGTCCTTCAAAGCAAGCTGAAATCCCCTGCTGGCTTTCAAGCCATTCAGAAATCAACACTCTGAACAGTGACCTGGCCCCACTCTCTCAGCTTGCCCTGTGATCTCTCTGACCAACTGACTGTCGCCTGCTGTCTGCTGGCCCCAAGGAGTTCCTCGGTCACATGGGTAGGGGACAGGGTCTCAAGTGTTTCCAGTCTGATCCTATTTCTGAGGCCCTGTCCCAGCCCAGGCTTCCTGTAGGTCACTGACCACCATGGCTCATTATCACCCCTTACTCAGTCTTCAGACTCATGCCCCTTCCTAAAGGGCACACCCTTCCCAGCTCCCCTGGTTTGACAAAGGCTTGTCCTACCAACTCTATACTCAGTCCTCCCAACCAGTCCCCTTCCTGTTGGCCTCTCCACTGGGTTGTCCCTGGTCTTACTACCTTTCCTCCACACCTGCCTCTCTGAGGGGCTCCTTGCCTTTAGTTCTCCCCGACATGCATGCACCTTCATTCCCTAGCCAGTGTGGTTTTTTTTGGGGGAGGTCATTCTCATGCTCAGGAACCGACTATGGCTGCCTATTTTCCATCAAATCAATTTATCATCCTAATCTGGCATCCAAAATCCACCTTCTGACTCCCTGCACCGTAGGGCTTCTCCCATGTGGCTCCTAGCTAGCTCAGGACACACCATGCATATGCACACCCTCAGGGCCAAGATGCACCATGCAACACCATGCAGGCCCAGAGTGGGCCATAGTTACCATCAACTTGTACTTCCCTGAGGCCTGTGGGAGATAACTGGAATTGAAGCTTGGGTGGGGTCAGGTACCAGTGCCCGGTCTGGTCTCTGATGACCTCCCTGTCACTACCCCAGCTCTTTTCCCTGGTACCCATGAGCAGTTGGCATCCTACCTCTCTCTCCTCTGCTCGTGGGTCCCAAGTTTGCCAGTCAGAGGTCATGCATTTTTTTCAGGTTCCTGGGACAGACCCTTCCCCACTTATCTTCCCTCACAACAATTATTAGAAGATCCTGCCCTTTAGTCAGCTAGGTTTAGTGACCAGGAAATGCTCTGCATTCTGCCCTTGAGTGGGGAGCTTCCCTTTTAGCTTTGACCTTTGGTGAGTTTGTGGGGCACATAATCTCATGCACAGCAGCTCTCTGGGTACCACGGGGTCTCAGAATAGCACTGATTGCCGTATCTGGACCTAATAGAATTGAGGCCTTTGTGGTGAGCTGCTCCTGGTCCCTTTGTAAAGAAGTACAGGATTAATACACAAATTGAGCGATCATTCCCTCAGGAAATGAGCACCAAGGGGGCACCCTGGTCCCCCTAGGATCACTACCTTAAGGGCATCCAGGATCCTGCCGTCATAGTCGATCACCACAGTGTCTCCTTGCTCGCCCTTGAGGCCTGGGGGTCCCTGAGGCAGGAGAATAAGTTTCAGGGAAGAGCTACATTAGTGGGTGACATGGTAGCTGTCTCTGTGTCGTACCCAGAGATGAGGGGGACAGAACAGCCTGGATACCCGGACCTATACGCAGGTCTGTGCACTGGGGGTCGGCTCCCCAGTGTGAGCAGGCCTCAGATGTGAGCTGACAGGACCTCAGCATGTGAGGGAAGGGGCAGGCAGGGGGTCTGGGGGCCCCACTGAAGAATCACCTCCCCCTGGCCTGAGGGATGGCTGTGATTTGCCTTCATGTGGGTGTTCAAGCCCACTGAGGCCTGACCCCTGAATTCTCAGAAAAATGGAAAGCCTAATTTTGATGAGAAGCTCTTCAGACTTTTAAACGTTGCCAATAAACAAAACCAAAACCAATCCCTCATCCCCCACTCCGCCAGCCTTCTGAAACACTATGTAAACCAGTGATGGACTCGTGTGGCTGGATCCGCCTGAGGCTGCACAAATGTGCATCGAATCCGCATTCATTCCTGGTTGTGTGCACACTGCACGCATTTGCACTTGTCCACACCCACAGGCGCTGGCATGTGCACTGCTGCAGGCCCAGCGCACCCCCTCTGAGCCCCACTTCTCCACGGGGGCTGATCTAGGACAGAAGCGAAGGGTCAAAAGCACTTTCGTTCAGGCTCAGAGTCAGCCCCTGGCATGCGGTAGAGAGAGTCAGGCCTGGCTGGTCTTGTCTCCTAGCTTCCCCAGGGCCACGACCTGTATGGAACTGTCCAGTGTATACCTGAACCCCACACTCAGTGCCCGATCTACCAGCCACCTGTACAGCCAGGCTGGGGGTTCTGACCTATTCTTTGGAGCAAGAAGTCAGCTACCAGGAGCAAGAGGGGCTGTGGTTGCATCAGGTGTCAGAGTCAAGGATAGAATTCTGGATATTAGTGTATAAAAGTACATCTATAAGGACTGGTCACAAAGATCTGCGGCCAGCTGGAGGAGGGGTGCTGTGCCCCTCATGAGAGGCATGAATGTCTATGTGGGGCTGGGAAAAGCAGGTTCTACCCCACAGTGGCAAGGCCATGCTGTATGACAAATTGAGGACCTATGTTTGAATATGAAGAGTCTAGAAGAGTACACAGTCACCCGTGCAAGGGAAGAACTCTTATTTGATAAGAGGTTGGGACTCTAACTTTTACATATCTGTATTTCAACTTTCTACCACAAGCATGGATCAGGATATTTTAAACAGTCAGTAAAAAAGGTAAAAAAAAAAAAAATTAAAAGAAGTGCCTAGGTCCTGTAGCTGCTCTGCTCCTCTGGGGTCTTCTGAAGCTACTGGCCCCCCTGCATCCACTGGTATGGCCCAAGGGGAGGTGGCTTACCCGGGGCCCCGCAGCTCCGTCTGTGCCTCGGTGGCCAGGCTCCCCCTGTGGAGATACACAGTTGCAGCCCTAAAGTGTGGGACTTCCTCCCACCCCCTTCCCACTTCAGTCTCTTTTCAAAAGGGCCCAGGCCCCACACGCTGGAGTCCCAATGGCCTGCATATAAGAAAGGCCTTCCAGGAGGAGGATTTCCAGAGAGAGGACATATGAGACCCTATTCTGACCTCACACTGGGAACAGATGGGGACACTGAGGTACATGATGGGTTGGCCCAGGACAGGGCCCGAATGGAGGCCTTATCACTTACCCAGATCTATTGCCCTCCCACACCCCAATGCCACCCTCTGATGATGAGTCCAAGGAGACTCCTGGCCCAGGCCTGCCCAGGACTCCCCATTTAAAAGGCAAAAAAGAGGTGAAACTACATCTGTCCCTTGTAACCGGGTGATGGTTTGAAGGGGGCCTTCAGGTGCTGGAGCAGAGCACTCTAATGTCACCTTAGGTCCTGGGACACCGTCCACGCCGTTCTCTCCTTGGGGCCCCACGTTCCCTGGCTCGCCCTGAAATACAAATATTCACAGTGATAGCAAGTGCTGGGAGTAGGCGTGGGGTTGCCCGGGGCTGCTGGGCCTTGCTGGCAGGCCTCTTGGAGTACATGCCTCACCAGGGGAAGTGGGGTGGACCTCAAGGCCCTTCCCAGTCACAGATACCAGCTTCTGGTCTGGGTTTTGGCACACACTTGGGGCAGCTCAGGAGTACAAGAGACATTTTAGAGGCAGGCTGGCCAGGACTTGGCTATTACAAGGGTTTGGGGGCTCAAGGTGTGCAGATGATACCATGTTCCTGGCTTGGGAAGAGGGTAGAAAGTGGGTTCATCTAAGATGGGAATAAAGAGAACTTGAGGATGTGAAGGAAAGCAAGCGGCTGGGTGAGTTGCCAGGTCTGAAGGCAAGTGAGGTCTAGAACTGCTGCTTCCCTCTGGCCTGCCCTGGCCACACCCCTAAGATGTGAAGGGACTGAGCGGGGGCCTCACTAGGCAGATGGCCACTGTGGGAGGAGGAAGGCAGAGGGACCCCTGGGGAATAGGCATATACCTACCTTGGGCCCTGGGGGCCCAGGGAGCCCTGGCTGGCTGGGTATCCCATCATCCCCCTGAGGAGAGAAGAGCTGAGGCTGCAGACATCCCACCTGGCCAGATCCTCTGATGGCCTGTTGCTCCTCCCTCCTCTAGACTCCCAGCATCCCAGTCCATTCCTGGCACCAGCACCAGGAACGGCAGGTTCCTCCTCCCCTCCTTAACTCTCTAGGGCAGGGGTGGCATTAGATTCATCTCTATTCCCTGCCCCCACCAGCCTAGAGCCAGCCCCAGCAGGTGTTTGCAGAAACAAGGGGGTGCACAGATAAATAAGAGTAAATTCATTAATTCATTCATCAAATATTTTGTGGGTCAGAGAGTCGAGGTCTCTGCTCAGAAGGAGTGACGGGAGGACAAGGGGAAAGAAATATTTATATAAGTGGAAGGTGTCATGTCAGGAATTAGCATAAGTTTTGGGAAAAGAATATAAGAGGATGGCATGATGGAAAGGAATTTGGGGGAGAGCCTGTTTTAGCAGGTGGCCCAGGGAAGGACTCGTGAGGAGGGGACAGTGTTGCTGAGAACTGGTTCCGGAGGAGGAGGCCTAGTCATGGGAAGAAGATTCCAGTTCAGTGGTTGGTTCCCAAGTTGGAAGTGCACATCACAGTCACCCAGAGGGCTGCTGAATCAGACCCCAGGACCTCACCCCCAGAGTCTCTAATTCAGTGGGCCCGGAGTGAACCCCAGAATCTATATTTCTTTCTTTTGTGGTACAGAGGATTGAACCCATGGTCTCATGCATGCTAGACAAGTGCTCTACCCCTGAGCTACCCCCTCAGCCTGGAATTTGCATTTCCAACAAACCCCCAGGTGATGCTGACACTGCTGGTCCCAGGACCATACTTTGAGAACCACTGATCCAGCCCTGAAGTGGGCACGACCTTGGTGTGTTGGAGGAAAGAAAAGAGTGAGTGAGTCTGTGAATAAATGAGTGAAATCCTGGCTCCACTGAGATATAGGACAGGGCAGCCATCCACAGTGAGCAGTCCATGAAGAGAAGGGGACCCTCCCTATGGGCAAGCACCATCCTCATCCTGGTTCCCTGCCCCTGCCCTTCTCTCCAGCTACTTCCTGCCACTGGCCAGGAAGCATTTCCACAGGGTCCCCTCACCTTCTTTCCAGGAATGCCAGGCTCACCCTGAAAGGGAGACAATAGGAGAGCAAGAGAGAGGTCAGAGTCACAGGAGTATGGTCTACACACCAGACCCATTTCTCTTTTAGAAGTGGCACCAATGACCCAAAGCCAGTGCCAGCCCAGAGACCCCTGAATGTCCCCTCTAGAGAAATGTACGTGGGCAATGAAGCTCTTAGATTCTGAGTCAGTTACCCCCAATGATCCTGGGCAAGTCACTGCTCTTCAAAGCAGGGAGGTAACTCCCCCAGCCTCGGAGGGCTGTTGGCAGGGTGAGAGAGAGCTCCCCAGGAAGCCCATGCTCACAGCAGGTGCTCAATAAGTGGCTCTCTCTTCTAATCCTTCCCTTCTCCTCATCCAGTGTCTCCTTCAGGAGATACAGCATGGGGGTAGGAAGAAAAAAGAGCTGACATTGAGCTAACTAACATGGATGAAAACTTGTGACCACACAAAAACCTGTCCCTGGAGGTTGGTAACAGCTGTACTCATAATTGCCAAAATTTGGAGGCAATTGAGATGTCTTTCAGTGGGTGATTGGGAAAATAAACTGATACCTTTCAACACTGGAGTAACTCTTGGCCCTAAAAGGCAATGTGCCATCAACCCATGAAAAGAAATTGTGGAACCTTAAACGCATACTTCTAAGAGAAAATAGCCAATCCCAAAAGGCTACGTACTGTCTGACTCCAACTGTGTGACCTCTGGAGAAGGCAAAACTAAGGAGACAGTCAAAACATCAGTGGTTGTCAGGGATTAGGAAGGAGGAAGGGAAGAAAGGGTGGATTTTTAAGGCCGTGAAATGACCCTTAGATTCTAGAATGAAGGGCACATGTCATCATACATCTCCCCAAACCCATAGAATATGACACCATCGAGAATGAACTGCCATGTCAACTCTGGGCTTTGGGTGGTGATGTGTCAAGGTAGGTCATCAACCGTGGCAGACATACCGACTGTGGTCCGGGATGTTGGTAATGGGGGAGGCTATGCACATGTTGGGGGGTGTGCAGAGGGTGTATGGAACTCTCAGTACCTTTCACTCAATTTTGCTGTGAACAGGAAACTGCTCCCAAAATAAAGTCTATTAAAAACCAAGCAGCTAATGTGTTTTATGATTCAACTCTCACAGCCCAGTGTGAAGTTGAGGCAGGAAAGGTTTATTATGCTCCCATTTAATAGAGGGGTAAACAGAAGCCCTCTGCAGATGCAGTAGCCTGGGACCTGGGCTACTAACCCATCATGGACCTGGAACTCCTAACCCTTCTGCCTCAGCTTCCACTGGGTGGAGTGGGGGTGGGGGGGAAGGTGGTAGTGAGGGTATCTGTCCCCCAGGTCTGGGCAGCAGGAGGAGGAGTGAGGAGTACTCACCTTGGACCCTGGGGGTCCCTCAGGGCCCTGGAATAGGAGAAGAGAAGGTGTTAAACATTACACTGGAGGTTGATTCTAGGCCTGTGTTCTTTATCACCCTCCTTTTATAAAGGGTGATATCATGTCTGGAAGAGGCAGGCCTGTCACTGGAATGGTGGTGGTGCATCCAGTACAAGGACTGACTGCTCATTCTTTGGACATCTGCTGCATTAGGGCTCTAGACTCTCACCTAGGACTCCAGACTCCCATTCTGGAAGGTGGGGCTATGGGAATTTGGTCCCAGATGGGTGCCTTGCACATCTATTTTCCTGATGCAGGCAGAGGGCAGGAGTGCAGGCAATCGCATGCTTATAGCTTCAGGCCTCAGGCACCTAAGCATTGCAAGCATGTACACAGGCACGCTACATGGTCCCGGTATGGGTGTGTGTGGCAAAGGGGCTTCCAGGTCTGGCAGCTACAGCCTTGCCATCCCTGGCCTCTGAAATGCCCTGGATACTGACCATCTCTCCATTTTGTCCAGGCTCTCCTTTGGGACCCTGAGGGGACATGAGAGAATAGCAATGAGGATCCAAGAATGTCACATTTAGTTGGACCCATTCAACTCACCATAGGCCCTGGGCTGGGCTGTAAGTACATGATCACATTTCATCCTCATCCAACATTGAAACAGTGGGTATCATGTCCCCATTGCACAGATGAGAAGGTTTGAGAAGGTTAAGGCTTATATGCCCAACATGATAAGAAATAGGTAAGCCAAATGTGTAGCTACTCTGGTGTCAGTAGGGGACCCTGTTGGCAGTTTGGTGGAGGTGTGGGCTCTGCACTGGAGGGGAAGGAAAGGTTGGAGTCCCTGGAAATGGGTGGTAGAAGGAGATCTGGCCTCCAGGGTTTGGGTTAGGACTACAGGAGGAAAACTGAGGCTAACTAGTTAGTGCTGAGGAGAAAGTGGGGCAGGGAGAGGAGCAGGGGTTGGTGAAGATCTGCAGAGAAATGCCCACCTATGTGTTGCAGGGTCAGAGTCAGGGTCAGGATTGAGACTGAGATTGCAACTACAGTCTGGGTTAGGGGAAAAGGATCTATTTGGAGTAAGAGTTGGGCTTGGAGTTAGGGTCAGATTCTGTAGGAGTCAGGGTTAGGTCTGGATAATAGTCTGAACTGGGAGTGTGGATCGGGATTTGAGAATGAGTTTGGGGTGAGGGTCTTGATTAGGGTTAGGACAGATTAGAGTTAGATTTAAGGCTTGGTTGAGGTAAGGGTTAGGGTTAGGGTTAGAGTCTAGAGTCAAGGACAAGATTTGAATTGGGAATCGATTGGAGCTGAGGTTTAGCATTTGGATTGGGTGAAGGTTGGTGTTGGGTTTGTACTAGGGGATAGGGCTGGGTTGGTTCTGGAATCAGGGCTTGGGGTTTTGGTCAATATAGACCCATGGTTTGGGTGCTCCAACTTCAGGCCTTCTCTTACCACTGGGCCTGGAGGTCCCTTGGGGCCATCTTTCCCAGTGTCGCCAGGAGGGCCACGGGCCCCAGGTGGTCCGGGGGGCCCTGGAGGCCCAGTAGCTCCATCTTGCCCTTGATCCCCCTGAAAGAGACGGGGTTTGGAGTGACCCTGAGGGTGAGGGGAAGGGGTTCCAGCCTCCAGAGAGAGGATGCATGTGAAGGGAATAATGCTGTGTTAAAAAAAAGCCAAACTCAAGAGTCACACGCTGTATGGTTGCAGCTACGCAGTGCCCTTGAATAACGAAATTATACAGATGGGAGTTAGTGGTTGCTTGCGGTTAAGAACGGGCGGGGAGGGAGATGACCATGAACATGAAAGGGTAGCATGAGGGAATCTGTGTGCATCTACGATGGTGATAACATTGCACAGAACAAAATACACACCTGAACACAAATGAGTGTATGTCAAATTGAGGAAATAAGAATCAGGTTGTTGGGTTGTAGCAACACAATTTTCCTCCTGGTGAGATTGCTCTACAGTGATGCAAGAGGTCACCATTGGGAAAAACTGGATGGAAGGTGCATTGGGTCAGTACCACTCCCCCCACCTCTAAAAATAAAGGTACATTGGGTGTTATTTATAACAACTGCAAGTGAATCTGTAGCAATCTCAAAATAAAAAGCTTAAAAAACATAAAAAGGTACACACAGTCTTCTCCAACACTAAATTCGCAGTTCTTGGACCCGATGTTAGTACTGGGTCAGACCTCAGGCAGCCAGAGCCCTCACCTCATGGCCCCAGCCCACAAGGAGGGAAGCCCACAGCATGACTGGCACCTTTTGGCTGCCCTAGCAGGGCCTGCCCAAAACTGGCATAGGATATATAGTAAAGGGCACATCCATCGTGTCAGCAGCTCCCAAACTTCTTGTAAGCTGAAGAAGGAAGAAGCCTTTTGTGGACTCAGCACTGAGCAAGCAAGGACCTCCTGGAGGTTATTTATTCCATCTGTGTGCTCAGCCAGCTAGGCACTACTGTTGTCTCATTTTACAGAAGAAGTGGGCGGGGGTCAGAGAGGGTGATCATTTACTCAGGATTACAGAGCTAGGAAATGCTGAGTGTCCTCTGACTGCCAAGGCAACTGGTCTCTTTTAGACCTTTTTTTTTTTTTTTTTTTCAGATGTACCCCTACCCCACCATGATATGAAAAATCTCACCTCTCTAGCCTGGGTCCTGATCAAAGGGTTATAATTTCAGGTTAAAGAGAAGAAAACTGGCAGTATAGTTGTTTGGTCACCCAGCTTCAGGTGGTGAAGGTAGCAGGCAAATTTCTGTTTCATTTAGCTCTAAATCAGGAAGAACTTGATTCTCCCTCCTGCAGCTCTGAGGCCCCATTTTGGGAACCATGGGCCTGGATTCTACTTTGTATTTTATTTTTTTTAATATTTAGTTTTTAGTTTTAAGTGGACACAGTATCTTTATTTTTATTTTTATGTGGTATTGAGGATCGAACCCAGGGCCTCACACATGCTAGGTGAGCGCTCTACCACTGAGCCACAACCCAGCTCTGGATTCTACTTATTCAAGCATAAAATAGGTTTAGACACTTGAACTCATCCTAGGGGACGTTCTCAGCATCTCTCAGGGCCATGGCTCCCTCCTCCCTCAGGGATTGGATGACTGAGGTCTAACCCTGGAAATGTGGGGTGAGGAGAGGGTGGGGGGGGTGCACAGCAAACCAGCAGGCTCAGACCCCTCACTCGGTCAGACTACCTTGAGGATGCGGAGACTGTACGCAGGATGGTCTCTACTTATAAAGCCTGGATTGAGCCGTGGGAAAACCATCTAGTCAGCAAAGGGTTGGGTGGTCAGAAAAGCAGGAGGGGGATTTAAAAAAAATCACAAGGCTATTTCTGTAGGCCCAGTCACCTAACCCAGCTCAGAGAAAGGCAGCTTGGTTGTTTGGTATGCAGGCTGCCTGCTCCAAAGATGGCTGCTATGCTGGTTTCTGGCCCACAGGCTCTTCTACAACAAGGCCTTCCCACTGCCTATGGAGAACCAGGGCTCTTTCTCTTCCTACTTGACTCTGGGTGGGCCCTGTGACTGATGTGACCAATAGAATGCCGTGGAAGTGAAGCTATGTCCATTCTGGGTAGAGCTCTTCACAGTCCTGGCAGCCCCCACTTCCTGCCTCTTGAAACGCAGCTCTTAGGATTCCTTCTAGAAACCCAGCCGCCATGTTGGGAGACGCTGGAGATCTGTGGAGAGTCACATGTGGCTGCTTCCCAGCTAAGCTGCGCTGGCGGTGAACATGTGAGGGGACCATCACCTTGGTCTCCCAAACAGCTGCCTTTCATGAGAGAGACCCTAGCCAGCCCAGGACATCATGAGAGAGAATGACAGACCATTGTTTTAAGTCACTAAACTTTTTTTGAAGAGAAAGAGCCCTGGTTCTCCATAGGCAGTGGGAAGGCCTTGTTGTAGAAGAGCCTGTGGGCCAGAAACCAGCATAGCAGCCATCTTTGGAGCAGGCAGCCTGCATACCGAACAACCAAGCTGCCTTTCTCTGAGCTGGTGGTTGGGAAAGTTGTTTCATAGATGACTGGAATATTGGGACAACAGGGAGGATATCCATGAAGTGGGAAAGGGCTACAGTGGGGGGACATCTGCTCTTCTATAACTTTGGGAGTTAGAGGATTTCTAGTCTGTGGTGGAGTAGGCCTCCTCATTTGGAAGATAAGCTTCTCTATATCCACCAGAAAGAAAGAAAAAAAAAGGGATTTTTCTCAGCAGCTACAAAAAACAGGAGTACCTTTTCTTTGACTTCCCTGAAGTCAAAGAAAAGGTACCAGCTTTATGCAGCCCTGGACCTGGCCTTGCCTTCCCATCAGAGGCCAGGCGTAGGAGAGCTCTGTCCTGGGAACTCAGCCCCTTTCCTGCTCCCAGCTCATGATCATAACCATCCTGTGCTGTAGGCTCTACTGTCCTCATTTCAAAAAACCAGGCTCAGAGCCATGAAGTTGCAGAGCAGGGGCTTAGGCCCCCAAGCCCAGCCTATGCTGTCTGCCCTGTCTCCCTACTTTCTTTCTTTCTTCTTCTTATTATTTTTTGGTACTGCAGATTGAACTGAGGGATGCTTAACCACTGAGGAACATCCCCAGCCCTTTTTTTGTGTTTTATTCAGACACAGAGTCTCACTGAGTTGCTTAGAGCCTTGCTAAGTTGATGAGGCTGGCTTTGAACTCACGATCCTCCTGCCTCAGCCTCCCACTGGGATTACAGGTGTACACCACCACACCTGGCCCCTACTTTCTTTTAATTATCCTCTAAGTAGTTCCCTCCTCCAAAGTGGCTCATTCCTCCTCTATTCCATTCCTACCTCCACTGCAGATGATTGATGTGGGTAACTAACTTGGGGTTACAGTGTCCACCCCATAAGCTTCTTAGAAACAACCAGAAGTACACCATGATCCAGCTTTTCTCTGGGCAGTTGATGTCCATCTCTTAACCTCTCTAGTTAGGGCTCCCTGCTAGAAATGGTCAGGGTACCTGTTTATGGCTGCTACTTAAGTGATCCTTTACCAAGATCCACTTTAGGGACCCCCCGGACCCCCAGCTCAGGTTCAGTTTCTGTTGGAGGGAAACTCAAGTTCAGCACAAGGCACTTCTGAGTTCCTAAGCCCAGGGGACACTGAGGGGCAGAGGTAGTTTGGGAGGAGATGCAGATCTACTATCCCTCACGGGGCTCTGGATGCTATTAGGATTATAATAAATCTCCACAGCAACCACTGTGATAGGGGCTATCATCCAGACCCATGGTTGGAGCAACTGAGTCTCAGAGGGAAAGGTGACTTGTACAAGGTCACTTAGGTGGCAGAGCTGAGCTTTGGGGCCAAATCTGCTGGCCTCAGAGCCTTCCCTTTTTTGGAGTACCAGCTGCCTTCAGGAAGGTCAGTCTTTGGTCTGGAACCAGGGCCAGCTCTATTGTCTGGTTACCTATGCTGACAAGGAGAGGGAATGGGAAAAATACCAGGTATTCACCATCTGGATGGGATATCACAATCTTGGCCAAGCCCAGGGTGCCTTGGGGGCTTCCATGGTGGGAGGGAGGGTGGTGTCACTCGCCTCTGTCTGTGATGAGCTATAGGGAGCTGGGACCCAGAGGAAATGCTAGATGTGTATTATTATAATAACATGAAACAAACCACATGGGGTGGGTGAGGGAGGTGGTGCTCCATTCTTACCCGGGGGCCAAAGTCTCCTGGTGCACCCTAGAAACAAAAAACAAGGGGATAGATCACCAGAACAGTCACTGTTTGTTCACATTTCCCATTGAGCATGTACTCTGTGCTCTGTGCTTCACATATATGGTCTAGCTTAATTCTAACAAAAACAACAGGCAGGCCCCATTTTTAATCTCTCTTTCCAGTGAGGAAATTGAGTCGCAGAGAGGCCAAGTAATCTGTCCACAGCTGGCAGATTCAGGGTTTGAAACCCAGGTACTCTCTTATCTATGACCGGCTCCCAGATATTTGAGGCCTCAGACGTGGTGGATCAGGCACATCTGCTTCTACTGTGTCCTCTTAGAATCCCTGAGCCTTGGAACAGTGAGGGATGGTAAGGATTAATTGTTATATAAAATCATCAAGCTTTGGGGGCAGTGCACCATGTAGTCACAGATACCAAGTCACTAGTTTCTCTCTGGTCTCAAAGCCCCTGCTTCAAGTTATTTCTGTCTTGGTTGAATCAGTTAGAACAAGTGAGAAGGCAATCATGATCCCTACTAACTGTACTAGTGTCTCCTCATCAACAAAGAACATGCAGACCATGAGTCTGTGAGGCTGGTTTTAATTTATAAATGGGGAAACTGAGGCTCACAGAACCAGGCAACTTGCCTAAACCCACAGAGTTGGTGATGGAGCTGGAATACAAAACTGAGGCTCTGAACACCAAATCCTATGCCTTTCCATGGCTTCCTCAGCCCTGATGGTAGCCTGGAACCCTGTCTTCCCTTACCTGAGTGGTCCTATTACACCAGGGTCCACCATCTACCAAGCTCTTGCTTCTCCATCTCTGAATTCTGGGAAGGGATGGATGTGGCCCAGCCATTCCCAGACCTTCCCTGGAGGCCCTCAGTTGACCCTGCCACACCTAAGTCTGCTCTAGTCCCTCTCTCCTCTAATACCACCATCAGGGACGCATAAATCCCATCCTCCAGGATGCTGCCTGTGACTTTGACTACCAAATGCTAGGGTAGTTTTTCTCACAGCAGTCTGTAAAGAGCTTTCTGCCACTTGTTTTCCTGAGAACACCAGTAACGGTCCTTGTTCAACGCCCCCAAGTTCTCTTAGTACTTCTTCATTATTCGTTTATTTGGGAATATGTCATTCTTGACAGAATTCAGATTCAACACTCCTGGCATATATATTATCAAAGGTAAGTCTTGTAACCGTTTAGGCATATGTACTTGTCCCATTTTATGGATGGGGAAACTCTATGGAACTGGGCACTGGAGGCAGGTTTCTGGTCTCCTTCATCAGCCTTGAACATCTGGATAGTCTCTAGCAACACTTACCTTTTCCCCCTTGGGGCCTGGAAGTCCCTGGGGAAGGAAGGCGGAGAGAGAACAGGCATGAGTGAGGAGGGCTAGGTTGGTTGCCCTTCTGGCTGCCCGTGGCTTTGAGGGCACAGGGGCCTGTGATTCTGGGCAGAGGGGAGTGGCTGGGTGGAAAATCACACACAAGCCTGTCAGCCCTCAATGACAGCTGCCTTCATTGGCTTTATGGAAACTCACATCTCAGTCCTCAGCATGAGGGAGATGAGGGTTTGAGGGTCACCAGTAAGGGCCCATGGGCATCCTTGAAGCAGAGAAAGGGGCACATGTGTGAGTCACTTCTCCTAGAAGTCACAGAGCCTCACTGCTCAGCACACCCTTGTTCCAGATTCTGGTAAGGAGGCTACTGCCCTGAGGTGTCTATTGAATCTGCAAGGCAGGCAGTAGACAGAGATTGTCTCCAGAAGTGGCAGCCCCTCAGAGGCTCCATCGACTCATCTCAGCTGGATGAATCATCCATTCATCCTTCCATTCATCTGTTCATCTGTCCATCCATCCATCCATCCACCATCCCTCCCTCCACCCACCCACCCAACCTCCTGTCCATCTATCTGTTTGCCCATCTATCTATACCTGCTTATTTATTTAATTGTGTTTATATCTTCCTGTGTGTCTTAATCATCTGCTGAGGATACCCAAGGTCCATAAGCTCCTGGCTCAGGTGTTGAGAACTTCTCAGCCTGATACCACTGTGGAAGTCTCAAGAATGAACAAGAGACACTTGGAACCCACTGGGAGGGGCTTGCAGACTTTGAGGGCTGCCTAGATACCAGGGACTGATTGCACTGTCCACCATTGTTTATAACCTCACAACACCCCTGTGAGGGAGGAGTGAATACACCCATTTGAGAGATAAGAAACTTTAGATTCGGGGCTAAAGTTTTAGAAGGGGCTCCTCATGGTTGCAGTCAAAAGATGGACACCCAGTGGCTTCTCTTTGGCTGAACCAGGTTTCCAGTGGCCCCTTCCCTCAGATGCCTCATGGTCACTCCCAGCTCTGTAGGGGCAGCCTTGTCCCAGAAACACCTAGAATTGCCTTGTCACTTACGGGCTTGCCATCCAGACCCAGGGGTCCCTGGAAAATGAGAGAGAGTAAAGGTTACACATGGGAACGGCACTTCCTCCGTGTTGTATGACCCAGAAGCATCGTTCAGTGATAAGAAAATGAAGACTGTCCTGAACCCAGAGGTCTGAGTATATCCCCGGGGGGGACTCGGGGAGGGACAGTGGGCTTCTGTCCATTGTCTGATACCCAGAATCTCCTCCTCTGACAGCAGAGCCCATAACACCCCATTGTTTGGGCAGGGATGGCACATGGCCACATTCCGTTGGCCAATGTGACAGGTGCAGGCATGAGCCTGTGGCCCAAGCTGAGCCTTGAGTGTCATGTTTGGGTCTTCAAGGGGAAAGAGGACTCTTTCCTTGCAATGGGGCTGAGCTTAGAGCTCTGGGGAGGTTATCATGTGACTTGAAAACGAGCCAACAGAGCAGAGAGCAGAGCTGAGAGACAGAGAGTAAGGCAGGGCTGAGGGCCCAACGCTGCAGCTACCCCTGCACACCCTGTGTGTGAGCTAGGACTGTGCCCCCCTTGAGCCAGCCTGAAGTGAGCTTCTGTCACTTGTAACTGATGAAACCCAAAGGAGCATCCTGCATGGCTGCAGCTGAGAGAAAGCCACAGGGCAAGTCCTGAGAGATGGGATCTCAGCCACCTCTAAGGTCTCTGGTGTCTGCAGAGGGCCAGCAGCCATGGCACGGGAGCCTTACAGAAGCCTCACCCAGTTTCCCCTCCTGGCAGAGCTGCCAAGGAATCCAACAGGTGGGAATCCTGTAGGCCAGCACTGTTTGGTCTCTGCCATGTCCTCTGCTCCTTCCCTCCATTGTCCCCTCATTCCTATATACTTCACTTTTGACCCCAGAAGCGTTTTCTGCAACGCCACATTCTGAGACTCACACATACTGCCTGCTCTCCCAAATTTGTACCTTTCCTCTCAATTCCTTCCTCTTTTGTGAAGCCTCCAGGTTTCTCTACTTCCCAGAGTCAGGCCACCTGTCTCTGTTCCCAGAACATATATTCTAAGGGTTGCATGTGGCATGACATATGGCTAATGTGTGTCTACACAAGTCCTCTCCGGTAGAGCCAGGAAGAGGGTGTGATCCCCTGGTGTCTCCAGCACTCACATGAGGCCTGGCATGGAGCATGTGCTCGGGAAGTGTGTGCTGAGTCAAACTAAGAATAACAGAGGAAAAAAAAAATATGTGCAGATACATATCCAGGTTTAGTAGCCCTTATCTGAAATGCCTAAGACCAGAATATTTTGGAGTTCAGATTTTTTTTTCCAGATTTTGAGATATAGGAAACCCAACACTTTTTGTGCACCAACATGATATCACAAGTGGAAAATTTATTAAATTATTAAGAATATTTCATAAATTACCTTCAGGCTAGGTATGTAAGGTACATATGACACAGATGAATTTCGTATTGGGTCCTATTTCCCAAGATAGCACATTAGATATACAGGTTGGATATCCCTCATCTGAAATGTTTGAATCTGAAGTGATTTGGAATTTATTTTATTTTTTTAAATTTTGGAGTATTTGAAAAAAAATATTCCAAACTAGAATAAACTACTGGCTTCTCTGGCTTGAACTCCAAACTGCTCTCAGAGGAATCAGCAGATCAGTCAATTTCCCAGGTGATGCAAGAGTTGCTACCTTGGGGAAGGCTTGTTGCCAGGGCCTTGAGTCTGCCAGGAAACCAGGGCAATTCTAAAAACTGGGAACTGAGTGCTTCCAGCCATCAGCTTCATGGTCAGCTGAGGGTTTGGACATCAGAACGATGGCCTGGGGACAGCTGGGATCCCAGGAGAGGGGACTGGGGCCATTCTAGTCTTGGCGGTCCAGGTCCTGAGGGACCTTGGTCAGGGCCTTGGTCTCAGCCACAGGCACAGTTCTGGTCCCCACTGGAAGCTGCCCTAGCTGGCCATGCTCCTTTTGCCAGATCCTGGCTCTTGTGACCTGTGGATCCACAGGCCCGACACTCCTGCCTTGCGTAGAACGCTAAATTGAGCCTTGACCCTCTTCAACCTGCTATTCTTAGGCCCTGCTAGGCCTCTTCAGGGCTGTGTCCTGCTGGATGTCTCTGTTGTGGACACCTCACTCAGGCCTGACTCTCTAGGCTGCCACAACATACCCTGGGTCCAGTACCAGCCAGGGTCTCTCCTGGGAGTTCTCTGTGGCCCCCACACGTAGCCTTAATCACTGTGGCAACCCTACGGGGTAGGTCTTAATACTGCCCTATTCCTGAGGAGGAAATCTGAGGCCCATTGAGGGGAAGACCTCACCCAGGGCCAGGACCAAAGCCCCTGTTCCTGGCCACCCTTTCCCCTCTTGTTTGGCTTTGCAAGTCTCTATTGTTCCCATTGCATCCTAGACAGTGCTTATCCACTGGCCTCCAGTCACCTCTTCTAGTGTGGTTGCCACCACAGACCATACCCAGGCTCTGTGAGCATGGCGTGTCATGCCAAACTGTTGAAAAGTATGCCTGACTCCTGCACATTGCGTGGACTAAAAGGGCCACAATGCAAACCAAGAGTAAAAAATGGTGAAGGCACAGGATGGAACTGAATAAAGTTTTCTTCTTGTTATTCAGACAGGAAGGACACAATAAGCCCCACAGCTAAATCTCCTGGGCATTGTTCACAGGTCCCTTCCCTGAACAAATACCTATAGTCCATATATGGCCCTGGAGAACTTTCTAGAATGCAAATATGATTGCAGTGGTCTCCTGTTTGAGGTCCTCTATGGAATCTCACTCATGAAGGAAAACATCCAGATCTCCTAATCTGGTGCCCAAATGCCCCTTCCCCACCCCAGGCCTGGGCACCCCCTATGTTCCACACATCTTTCCATGGTACCTGTGTCCCATTTTGGCTTCTTCCAGTGCTAGGACCGCCTTGGGATCATTGCTGGGTTCTGGGACCCAGTTCCAGGGTATCTGCTAGGATGTCATGAAGCTCACAGAACCATGGTGTTTCACTTTTCTAGAAGTGTCTGCAGAAGGGAGCCCAAGATGTTCTTTGTTCTTGACCCTAGAGAGGGTATCTCAGTGCTGCCAGCTGTTGTTGGAACTGTTTGGTGGCCAGATTTCAGCTTAGAGTGACCACATGCTCAACGCTACCCTCTGCCAACTCTGAGACTGTCCTTAGTGGGTCATTGATGGTACAGCCTTGCTCCCCATGGTTCCTTTCATGAGTGTGAGAAGCCTTTCCAGTGACAGAAAGCCAGCTTTCCCGTTGAGGAACTTGCAGTTTAGAAAGAGTGAATAGGAATCCAGGGTGGTGATGCACAACTGTAACGCAAGCTACTCCGGAGGCTGAGGCAGGAGGATCATAAGTTCAAGGTTATCTGGGGCAAGTTAGCAAGATCCTCTCTCTAAATAAAAAAATAAAAGGGCTGGGAATGTGGTTCAGTGGTGGAGCACTTGCCTAGTATGGGTAGGTCCCTGAGTTTGATCCCCAGCACTGTAAACTAGCTAACAAACACTAACTAACTAACAGATAGCTTCCCAATAAAGACAGAGGTGTGGTATAAACAGAGCGACTGGAAATGCCTATTATGGGGTTAGAGGAAAGTCAATTCCAGTTCCACTGGATCCCAAGCCAGGAGCGGATGGTTTGGGTATTTCTGCAACAAACACACGAACTTCACTCATAAATACTGACAGAAAAGAAAGTGCCAGAACCTGGTCTTTGGGATGCAGCAGACCAACAGCTCTGGCCTTGGTCTTTGGAGGTGGCCATGGATTCATCTGTGATGACATCTGAGTAAGAAGGCTGTCCCCAGGCCTCTAAATGAATTCTCTCCCTGAGCCTTGGAGTGGCTAGCTCCATGGCCCCCATTTCAAGGTCTGGCAGAGTCAAGGCAAAGAAACTGTCGTATGAGCGTCTGTGAACGATCTGTAAACTAGATGTTTCCAGGGGCTGGAAAAAGAGTTGAACCTGGCTTTAGTGCTCTTGAGAGAGGGACACACACCTCAAAGAACCAAAATTGAATAGGGGGTGGGGGTGTCAAGTTGGACCAAAGAGCAGGGCAGGGTCCAGACTGAGTGTCCAAACCAATAACCAGCCAGTTCTGAGCAGAACTGGGGCTGTTCAGGAAGGGTAGACTCCCCAGACTGGGCAGATATCTGCCTGCCTCCCTCTCTTATCAAGGTAGCCCCTCCCTGCCTCAGTGAGCATGATGCCGACCTGTTGATTTGCTACTTACTCTCCTCACATCTCCAACAATAGCAAGAAAAGTAGATGGGGTGGCGGGCAGGAGTACCAGCAACTCACATAGTGCAGGCAGGGGCTTGGGCCTTGCTGGACCCTCAGTTCAAATCCCTTCTCTGAGCCTCAGCTTCCTCTTATAGCTGCCACACCACCGTGGCTGTAGGCTCTCCATCTCTGCCTGCCTCCTCCCCCTGATCAAAGCTGTAGAATCTACCAGAGGTTTTCAACGCCCTCTGCCCACTGTGAAGCCCCACAGCTGCTTACCAGCCTTGGGTCTGAGCTTTAACTCACTCTTTCCCTGAGGAGAGCAGCTGGCCTCCAGGATGCTTCTGGATGTGCTAGAAGCAACAAAACTCTGGGCTGCACATGAAGGAGAAGAGACAAAGCCTCTAGCACTGGCTCAGTCCCTTGTCTCATGAGGGACTCAAGTGTGCCAGAGCCTCAGTTATCTCATTTGAAAAAAATTGGAGGCCAGGACAAGTTCAAGTTGAGACCCCTGTCATTATCCCCTGTTTCCTCATCTACCAGACAAGACAGGCAGCCCCATGGGCAAGCAGACATGGAACTGGGGTCTGCATTGGTCTGGCTGGGCCAGTGCTGGAACTGACCTTTGTGTGGCCAGCAGGGGGATGCCAGGCTGCTCTACCTGTTGACACCTGTTATCTTGGGGGTTTGTTCCCACTGTCCTTCACCCTATTGAGGTTTTTGTAAGCAGGGTTCCACAGAGCTGTCTTTTGATAAATATGAACAAGTATGACCTCAGAGGAGAGATTTCTTTCTATTGATGGATTAATCGCAGAAC